TAAAACCACCACCATCTATTCACCCACCACATTGGCTAAGGAACAGCAGCTTAGAGACGTGTGCAGCTTCTGTGTGGTGGTTCCTGGGTCTCAACTGGAAGGGTCCCACTGCCTGGGCTTTTCTGCTTGCTGGTGAGGGCTCTGCGGGCCTCAGCTTCCTTGTGTGCTAGGCAGTATTTGGAGGAGCCAGGAACTTCTGTAGGCTGTTATTTGAGGGGTGGCTTGAAAAGTAGTTTCCTCCGTACAGAATCTGTTTGTTTCTGCCAGGTGCCTGAGAGTATGACCAGCCCAGAACGACTTTTAGTGACATCCCCTCTCAGCTAGGTTTTTTGAATCATTCAGACGGTGTGAACCCGAGTTCCACATTCACCTGAGAAGCAGTTTCCAGTTCATGCTTCCTCTGAGGCTGTAATCCTTTGTGGAGGTGTAGCTTTTTGCAAGAGCTCTCCTCCTAGGTACCCCTCCTGTGGCTCTCTTTTATGCCTTTCTTGCATCCAAGAACAAGGCTATGAAACTGAAGTGCAGCCTCACTGGGTTCAGGGCAAAAGCCATCTTCTGGGCTCTACTGGCCCCTCTGGGTTCCAGCTCCCACGTAGGTTTTGGGCTCTGAAGAGTCTTCACTTTCTTGTCAGCTCATTCATGTATCAAACTAGCCAGCAGGAGAGGAGAGAGCCCTGTGCTCTGTGAGGTAGCAGGGGCCCTTCAAACCCTGCTGGCCTCACATGCATAAAATAATCATTTTTAAAAAATCTCACTGTTTTAGTGATATCCAGCAAGAAAGTCCATTAGGGTATCTTGTCCTCTATATTACAAGAAATCAGATTCTGAGTTGACAATTTTTTACATTCAGTTGTCTCATCTGTGAAGAGTGGCATATCTGTGTACTAATGCAGGTCTTCTGTTATATTCTTAGGCAGATCTTTATTATTTTTTTCTTAAGTGTTTTATGCAGTCTTCTTTAGATTAAGTCCAGTAAATCTTGGTATGCATTACATTAAAAAAAAAGAGCTGTTTTTTTTTTTTTCAACATTATAGTAGAATGTAAAGAAAGTTTAAAAAAATCTTAGGAAACCCACCATTACCAGAAATTACAGGCCTTATCTTTTGACATACATCCTTGTATCATTATCCTTATCTGTGCACCCATTTTTGCACAAAAGAGGGGAGCGGGTTTGCATTTCAAAGAGCTCATTCTGTGAGCAGGATTGTAGGAAAGAAGGTCAATGAGGACACTTTGGAGGCCCACCAGAGCTTAAGGGGAAACTCCTGGGGGTTATGATCAGAGAGTTAGCAGGATAAAGCTAAAGGATAATAATGGAGAGGCCAGTGCTGAGCTCATGTGTCCTAGAGCAGGTTCATAGCCAAGTTGCATCCTGGGGGACAGCACAAGCCTACTCCAGTTCATGCTCAGGGGGCCTCCTGCTACCATCTCAGGCCTCTTTTTCTTTCCTCTGCAGGAGAACTCTGGCAGCTCCCTTGTTTGCAAATTGAACAACACCTGGATTCAGATGGGGATAGTGAGCTGGAGCTATCGATGTGGTGGGCGCCATCGCTACCCTGGCATCTACACCAGCACCCCACACTTTACCCGCTGGATCAATAAGCAGGTTGTTGGCCTGAGGTTCGCCAGCACCATCAGAGATGGCGCAGCCATCCTGAGCTTTCCCTTCCTCACTGGCTGTATCCTGCTGGTCTCCTTGGGCTCCCTGTGGCTCCTGTGAGTGGTGTTTCTAGGATAAAGACTCCTGCTGCTGCTCTCTCTCTCTTCTCTACTCTGCCCTGGGGAAGAAGTGGAGACCAAAAGTTGAATAAGACATCATCATTGAGTGACTCTGGGGGAGAATCCTAGACCTACTATTTCTTTAAAGCTGTTCAATGAAGATGCTCTTGAACTTGGAGCCACTGAGTTTGCCTCTTCTTGCCTTTGACCAGAGTCCTCCAGAACCTTCCTCACCAGTAGCAGGCCTGGTTGTCCTCTATCAAACTGTGCCTTTCCTGAAAGCCTCATCCCGTGTCTGTCTTATGCTGGAATGTGTGACTTTGGCATGATGGTTCCCCTCTTTTGGCTGCAGTTTCCTCCTCTGCCACATAGGAGCCGGAACCACTGCTTAGTCACCCCAGCACCCCTCCATCCTGAGGCCTTCCCCTGGGTCAATAAGAAGAATTTTCTCTGAGGCCTTCCTATGAAGGCTGGCTTCTTCCCCAGAAGCAGTGGCCAGATCACAGACCTGTGCTTGTGGACAGTGCTCTGGAACCCACCGGCCTCTCCCACTCCTTATGTCCCCCTACAGGTCTGCACAACCTGACCAGGTCCTCCCTCCCTGGCAGGGGTGGGTGATGACAGAAGAGTGTGTGGTAGGATGAATATGTTAAGTGATTGTGTGAGTTTCTGAGCTGCTTCAGTAACCTCCATCAGACTCCAGAGAGCAGGAAACTGGCTCAAACTAGCCAGCAGGAGAGGAGAGAGCCCTGTGCCCTGTGAGGTAGCAGGGGCCCTTCAAACCCTGCTGGCCTCACATGCAGAATAGCCAGCCACCTTTCCCCTCAGGGAACCAGAGGGCATTTGCTGTCTTTGCAGATTGAAGTGTCACGAGTGTGGGATCCGAGGAGGTCTCCCAAAGGGAAAAGGGGACCTCACTCAGCCCTGACAGGTTCTTGACTTATAGCATAGAAAGGAATTTCAGGACAAGTGAATAGAGGCGTAGGCCTGGGGAGTGAAGGTGGGGCTTTTAGATTTAAAACTACAGTCCCTCTTTCCTTCCCTTTCTACTTGTCCTTAGATCTTCTATCCTACCTCAGGAACAATGCACGGGCTGCTCAGGTGCCTCCCATGTCTGCAGGCCCTGACACATGCAGAAAGTCCTGGCTTGATTAAGCTTTCACCTTGTCTTCTATTAGTCTGGAGTTTCCCCATAGCTTTGAACCAAAGCTTCTCGGATCCCCAGCATTACTTAAAAGGTATTACCCATCTGCATCACTGAACCACCAAACCTTTACCAGATTCCAACAAAGTGATGGTGCTCCCACTGTGGTCTAATGGCCAAAGTCACTCTTCTGTGGAAGGACTCTTTTTACTTGGGTCACTTTCCTCTACAGGTGAATCTGTGAAGTAGGAGTCTTGCTGAGGAGATAAGAGTTGCTAAAAATGATGCAGTTTAAAAATCACTATTTAAACCATATGGATCGGGCTGGGAATGTGGCTCAAGCGGTAGCGCGCTCACCTAACATGCGTGCGGCCTGGTTCGATCCTCAGCACCACATACCAACAAAGATGTTGTGTCCTCTGAGAACTAAAAGTAAATATTAAAATAAATAAATAAACCATATGGATCTGCTTAATCGTGCTGCCCTAGGGCAAAGGCCCCCTGCAATTAATTACCAGGCAGGAGGGAAAGTAGACTTTTGGAGCTTCTGGACGCCACCCCCAGGGATGTGCATTCTATCTCAGTTGACACCAAGAAGTCAGGTGGAGCGACTCTAACCTAGCACTGCAAGGCAGGCAGGCGAGGGTCTGAGGAGGGCGGAGGTGAAACCTGGGAGCCAGGGCAGGGATCCCTGGGGTGCGTCGCGGCGCGGGGATGGTGTCTGCCGAGCCGACTGGGGGCGCCATCGAAGAGGAGCCCGTGGAGCGTCGCTGCCATCCGGGATGCAGCCCTGGTGGTGGACGGCGGCGGGCTGTCAGGAACCCCAGGACCTCCGCGCGCTGCTCCTGCTCCTGCTGCTTCAGCTGCTGTCGCCGCAACTGGCGGGTGAGGGGACCTCCGTCGCCCCTGGCTCCCCGGCCCCCGGCCGCCCTGCCGCCTCTCACCCGCTCTCTCCCCGCAGGCTGCTCACGTGCAGAGGAGCCCCCAGGGGCGCTGTTCTCCAGGGCCTTGAGCGACCCGGGCACCCCCAGCACCTCCAGCACCCCAGGCACCCACAGCAGCTCCAGCACCCCCAACCCCACGAACGAGTCTCAACTTCCACCGCAGAGCACGACGGCTTCCAGCACCCAACCCCAGGTGCTGCCGCCGAGTGAGTACTGTGCGCTCCCGCTGGTCAACTTTGGCCCACGGGGGCCCAAGGGACAGGGGAGGAAGAGACCAGGAGGAGTGGAGCAGAATGACCTCCTCCGCAAGTATTTGTTGAGAAAGTACTGTGGCCAAACCTTTGGTCCTGTCCTCACAGGTCTCCCTGCTGGTGCTGTGGGGCAAGGCACCCAGGCTCCATGCCACCAGCTGGCTGTGGGGCAGGTGCCCACCCTTGCTCCAAGTCCTGTCCCAGCCTGACCCTGACTTGGGCTCCCAGCCTGGTCCTCGGTGGCCTGCAAGCACAGCTTGGGTTGGGGAATTGTGTGAGCCTTCCGGTGGAGTCCCAGGACACGCGTGTAGATGTTCCCCTGAGCAGTGGTCTTTAGCTGAGAACAATGTGTGAAATACTTAAACTGGGGCTAAGAGCATTCACTTCAACCACCTCAGAAAGTCTCCCAAAAGAGACCATGCAGTATTCTGTCCAGTGCATGCCCACAGTCATTTTCCTGTGTTATCTTTTAGGAATGCTGCTTAGGACTGGGGGGTGGAACTCAGTGGAGCAGCCTTGACTAGCATGTGCAAAGCCCTGGGTTCCATCCCCAGTGCTGCAAATAAATCATATGTAAATAAAAATGCTGGTCGTGGCCCATTTACCTTGATTTCACAATCCACTGATCTATTTGGAGTGGGACTCCTGGATGCTGGATGTGTTCATTTCAATTTAAAACAAAACAACTTTTCCAAAGTATAAGCTGCAGCAGTTGGCTCTCCCACCTGCAGTAGGGGAGCATTCTAGGGAAATGATCCTGAGGGACACTCAACGTTTCAGATATCTAATTTTTGCCAGGCGCATGTGCAGAGAGCAGAACCTCATTGTGCCTTCAGTCTGCATTTCCTTGGGCATCAAGAGGCTGAGCAGCTCCTGTACTCCTGTACCCCTGGGCTTTGCTTCATGCACACTGCCTGTTTTTATATGTTGGATTACTCACCTTTCTTTGGATGAATCACAGCAGGGGATCCCCAGGGAAGGGAAGAGGGTTCATCTTGGCCAAAGTAGAGGAAGGGTGAAGGTGGACAGAAACACAAACAAATTTTGAAGGATTTGCCTGGGGCTGAGAGGTACAACAGGCCGGTTGGCTGGGGTGCTCTAGGACCTGGCTACGGGAACAGGAAGAGGGTTAACTGGGCAGTACTGAGGCTGGAGACCCAGTCCGTCATGGACAGCATTTATTCCAAGGTGAGAAATGAAAAGGAGAACTGTGGGTCAGAGCTTGGGGAGGTAGTGGGAAGGGCGGGTGCACGGGCTGGGGCTGGGAAGTCTATTCCTCATCCGGCTCTCTCTTTCTCCTCAGTCTGTGGCTTCTCCTATGAACAGGACCCTACCCTCAGGGACCCAGAGGCCATGACTCGGCGGTGGCCATGGATGGTCAGTGTGAGGGCCAATGGTATACATGTCTGTTCGGGCACCCTCATTGCCTCCCGATGGGTCCTGGCCGTGGCCCACTGCCTGACTCAGTGAGTTGGGGCCCAGGCGGGTGGGTCGAGAGGCACTGGAGTGCTGGGGACCTGGTCATCTGCCTGGTCAGTTTGTTAGTGGGGACAGTGTTCTTTGTGGAACCCACAGTTCCAGCCTCACTCTCACTCACCCTGGTTCCAATCAAGTGAGGGTTGAGTCCTGCAGAATCTTTTCTAGGGGCCAGTCTTTGGAGTTCCCCTCACCTGGGCCCTTATTCCTGTACAGTCATTCCTCAGGGAATAGAGGCTCAGGGGCCATTTTTCTGGCTTCCTACCTCTCCTCCATGGGAAGAAGGTCCTAGGTCTTTGACCCCCCACAATTTGCTCCCACTTGTTCGATCCTCCCTTCCATCAACCAGTGGACACTCCTCTGAGCCAGGCCCTGGCCTAGGCCCTGGAGGCAGAGAGGCGATGAATCATTCCTTCCAGTTAGTGGGAAGACAGGCAAGGGGATAGATACTCACAGGGGAGTGTGGCTGGTATGGAGACGAAAGAGTGGGTATGTTGGGGTCCTGGGACCAGGAGAGCAGCCTGGGGGTACCATCTATTCTGTGAAGACTGACCAGTGGACACACGTGCTCCAGGTCTCAGGGTCATCATAGGGACTCCAAGGGGTGTGCCAGAGAAGGCAGCCTGGAGCCAAGCAGAGCCAGTTACACAGGGTCTGTGTCACTTGGCAGGCTGCAGTATAGGTACTGGAAAGAGTTCAGAGTCTGGAAGCAGAGAAAACGGGGTCCACATCCCAGTTCTACCACTTCTAGGCTGGGCAGCCTTGATCAAATCACTGGGCTTCTCTGGGCCTGTTTTCTCTTCCATAAAATGTTCCCAGTACCTTCCTCATATCTGTTGTGAGGAGTGGTCTCAGGGGGCTCAAAGCAGGTGTGCAGCCTGCCTGGATTTGCTCAGAAGGCAAGAGTGGCAGGGCTAGAGGCTGGGGCTGGTACCTGGAGCTGATGGCAGGCTCCCTTCATGGTTCCTATAGGCATGATAACTATACAGTGATGGTGGGGAGTCCATGGATTGACCAGATTGCGCCCAGTAGCTCCAACATCCTGGTGCTCCAGGTCATTGTGCACAGAAGGTTCCGGTCCAAGCGGTACTGGTCCTGGATTGGCCAAGCTAACAACATCGGCCTCCTCAAGCTTCAGAAGAAGCTCAAGTACAACAAGTATGTCAGGCCCATCTGCCTGCCTGGCCTGGACTATGCTCTGGAGGAAAGTTCCCTCTGCACTGTGACAGGCTGGGGCTCTCCCCAGGCTAATGGTGAGTCAGCTCCCTAGACCATGGTGGGGTGTGAGAGAGGACCTGGGTACAGACCACAGATGAACATTTCTTGGGCACCTTCTCGAAGGAGCCCACTGCCCCAGGGACTTTCCTTTGGGTTCTCATTTCTGATGTGTCCTTCCCCTTTGAGAGTCTAGGCAGGCAGTGAATGTATCACCGCCACTTGGGCCTCAATGGATGCTGTTTGCCTTTGAACCCTCAGGCCTAGTTCTTTTCTATTTCAGAAAGTAAACAGAACTTTCTTAATGGACTTGGGCTGGACTCTGCAGGGAGCCAGGCCAGATTGTGGGATCAGCCTGTTCCAGGGTCTCTGGGTCTGGCTACTCTTGGGAAGTGCTAGCTAGAGGGGCAGCTGGGCTGTGCCCAGGGAAATCTCAGTGCCTACTGTGTGCCAAACAGAAAAGACTAGGGGGAAGGGATGGGAAGGAGCCAAGAGAGGATGGAGACAGAGCTGGTTGTAGTGGGCAGCAGCAAAGCAACCCAGCCTGAAAGCGGCCTGTCCCACAGGCTCGGGGGCCCCAGTTCCAGACAATTCAGGAGAAGGAAGTTGTCATTCTGAACAGCAAGGAGTGCGATGCCTTCTACCACAGCTTCTCCAGAATCCCCTCTCTGGTTCAAATCGTCAACTCCCAGATGATTTGTGTCAAGGATGGCAGCAGAGAGAATTTCTGCTATGTGAGCACCTCTGCCCCTTGCTCAACCTCCCCAGGGGCACTGGCAGGAGGCTTGGGGTGGGGGGCAGGACCTGAGGGGCACAGAGAAGAGAGAGGAGGGGAAGAGTGAGCAGGGAGAAGGGAAGGGGTATGAGAAGATGGTAGGGGGGAGGGGGATGGGGGACAGGTGGAGGATGGAGATGGAGGACCTGGTCGATGGGGATGGAGATGAGAGAAGGGGGTGGGGAGTGGGGAGGTGGATAGCAGGTGTTTAAAAGGTGAGGGATGAAAACCTTTGAGGAGGGTTCCTCAGTCTGGAACACTTCTCAGCTGTGTTGCACTGGTGGGGCCTGAGGAGAGGACCTGGTAGGTGAGACCCAGAGCTGAGTCCCGTCTCTCTCAATCATTGCTTGGCCTCCCTCACCCTTTTTACTTCCCCCTTCTACTCCTCCCTGCAGGAGACAACTGGCGAACCCTTGGTCTGCTCTTTGGAGGGCACGTGGTACCTGGTGGGAATGATGAGCTGGGGCCCCGGCTGCAATAAGAGTGAGGCCCCACCCATCTTCCTGAAAGTCTCCGCCTACCAGGCCTGGATCTGGGACAGCCTCATGGGGAAGTCCCTGGCCCTGCCTGCCCCTTCCAGAGCCCTGCTGCTGGTTCTGCCACTGCCCCTCAGCCTCCTTGCCACTCTGTGACACTCCGTGGCTCCCCTGGGTGCACCCCCCTCACCCAGCCCCCTTCCTCCCCTCCATGCCCAGAATGTCCTGGACAGGTGCAGCTGTCAGTCCCCAGGGTGGAGTAGAGACAGGTGCTCTATTAAACACTTTTCCATGTCTCATCTTCCCTGGCCTCCGAGGGCCTTATCTTGCGCCTGCTCTAGTGGGACACAGGTGGGCTGGATGGTAGGGGGTTGACGACTCTGGGAAATTGGTACTGACAAGTGCAGAGCCCGCAGGGATCTGCCTTCCAAGGTTTGAGGGTGGCCCCGAAGAAAGTGGGCAGGAGCAGTGATATTGGGGTTAAACGATGGAAAGCCTAAAAATGCATTGCCCAGGCTAAAACTGGGCTTCAGGTACCCCCTCTAGTGTGAGGGTGCATCTCTGCCTGGGCTGGAGGTGAAGGTGTTCATCCTGTGATACAGTAGTGGGAGTCAGGCTCTCCTGGGCTTTGGCTGTTTTCTGGCCAAATACACCCTTACATTGTTCTAAAGACCCATAGTGCATTGACCCTCCAGCCCTGTCCCCTGCCTCGAGACAGGGGCCAGTGCCCATGGGATCAGATGTTATCCCCTTCAGCATGCCATGCCTTTTTTATAAAGGATTGGCAGAAGGCCCAGGTCAGAGATAGGGCTAATGCACGACCCCCAGGCTTCACCAGCTGCTGCTCTGTGGGACTTTGAGTGATGCCTGCCTCTGGATTTCCATTGCCTTGCCATACAGGGGCAGCCTGGCCCATATGAGGAGAATGGCCATTGCTAGCCCTATGTATGAGAAGCCCACAGGCTGATCCCTGAAGGCAGAGGCTAGCTAAATGTAGCTATCTGGTGGCAGAGTGCTCAGCTTCCCGGGAGCCTTCTGCCATCTCTGTCCCCTCACTGCTCCTGAGACTCCATGCACCTTACTTGTATCGGCCTGGATTGCTCTCCTCCTTGTAGGATGATGACCTGATGCAGACCAGGAGCGTGGACCTGTGACTCTCTAGCACAAGCTCAGACCATCAGAGGCCTATTGAAAGCCCTGAGGGTGTAGTGGAGCAACACTGGGGCATCCTTGTCAACCCAGCACCTGGCAAAGCAAACACCTCCCCTCGCCAGTCCCAAGGGGGTGGGCTTGGGTGGCTGCAGCTTCCCCCTTGGCCTCTGGGCCATCTTTATCTCACCTTGATTCAGTCTGGGAGAAGGGTTAGGGAGGAACTTTAGCCTGGCCTGAGCCATCTACTATTTTCACCCTCTGCATAGGTGCCCCAGGAAAGGGGCCTCCTGAGGGGCCGTCGAAGGAGGCAGTGTGCCATGCCTGCACCTGAGAAGGTGCTTAGCTTTATTTACAGATTGCTGCTGTCTGCTTTCTCAGCAGGCTGCCCAGCTCCGAAACCTCCTCGGGTGTCTCCTTAGTCTTCAGGCTCAGCTCTGAGAGCCTCAGTCTGATGTTTGCTGCCATCTGTGCCTCCTCTTCCCAAGGAGTTAGTCCTCAGGTGGTGTTTGTGTCCTTGTGCTCTGGTCAGAGATGTTTCCTCTAGTGGGGTGAGGTCAAAGAGGAGGCTGGGTGTTGCTCTACTCAGCAGATGGAAGGCTGGTTATACCCCGTTGTGATTGCCTGGGGCCCCCAAACCTCCTACCATGGATAGGCAAAGAAGGGGTCCCACAATAGCTTAGTGTCCACTTGGTCTTCTCACATGTTCCCTGGTTCCCTGGGCTGAGGCTCCAGCTTTCTTCCCTGCTCTCTGACCCACTGGCCTCAGCCCCCTGCACCTCTGTCCCACCCTGCAGTCCCCAGGCTGGAGGGGGCTGAACCCCTGGGCTTCATGCACAGCCTCATTTCCATCACGTGGAAAACCAGTGGATCCCATGGTCCTGAGCTTGGTATCTGCTGGGCTGGGGTGGTTCTGCTTCTGGGCCACCTAAGTCCCCCAGGTCAGGACCCTACCGGGCTTGGGGCAGTTTGCTTGCCCGGAGGCTGCTGCCTGGCTCTGCACCTCCCCCAGTAGTGCCACCCCCTGCCCTCAGTCAGCCACTCCCCAACCCATTCAGTTCAGCTATCCCCTCCTGGAAATAAACCTCATGTCCCTTTACTTCTTCATAGCCACCGCTAGCCCTGGCAGAAAGGGTGGGACAAAGGCCAGTCTAGGTAAAGAGAGCAGTGAGGCCACTCTGCATCTGCAGGACAGTAGCCCACTGAGAGTGCCCATGTGGATGGGGGAAAAGGAGTGGACTGCAGGATGGGAGTCCCCACACCTGTGTGGTCTTGTCCCTGCTCCTGTTGGGCCATGAGAATGTGGCCATGACCTCAGCTTCCCCATCTGATCACAGACTCTGTGGTCCATGTATGAGCTCTGCGTTTTAAGATGCATGGGTCCTGACTTGGGCATGCGCTCCAGGGCCTGCCAGGATACACTCCTCATTTCTCTCCTTTCTTCTTCTTGGCCTCTTTCTTCTCATCCTCCTCAACCTTGATGGCCACTGTGTCCACACTGTCCTTCTTCTTCTTTTTCTTCTCCTCTGTAGGTGGGAACAGGTGGGGTGGCAGTGGGAGGCCCGGCCCTGGGCGCTTTTGAGAAGAAGGGCCAGGGCCTCCTTCCCCCCACCCTGTCCTTCCTTCTTCCTTTGGAACCTCTCCTGTTGTGGAATGGTCTCTTTGTTTTAGTCATCTCAATCTGAACAATTTCTGTGCTCTGGGAGAAGGCAGGTCCCCCTCCTTGAGCCTACTGTGGGTGGAGGGAAGTCAGGGTGACTCCAGGCAGGAGCACTGAAGAGATGGGGGTAGCAACTGGGCCTGGGCTGGGGCCTACTCACCTCCAGGGATTTCTGTGAGCTCATTGAGGGGCGGCACCGTCTCCAGCTTGTCTGTGTACATCTTGGCTGCCTTTCGCTGCAGGTACCTGGCTTCAATCTCCTTCCGGGTCCGTGGTACGCGGCAATTGAAGACACAGCACAAGGTGATAACTGTAGGGAGGAGAGAACAGGCCTGGTGGGGGGCGGAGCCTCAGACGTCCAAGAGGGGTACCCAAACTTTGGCCAGCCTCCATCTACCTTTGCTTGTCTTAACCCAGGAGACTCTAGCAGGAGGCTCAGCGTCATGATAAAAGCCCAGTAGAGCCCAGGGTTCCTAGGTGGCCTCCTGAGCAGAGCTGACTTCATGCAGTTACATGAGGCCCATGCTTAGAAATGCCCATGCTTGGCTTGATGCTCTATCGGCAAATTCTTAACTTTTGAACAAGAAGCTTTGGGTACTTCATTTTGTACTGATCCCATAAACTACGAAGTTGTTCTGTTCTGGGGGTCTTTCTGGCTAGACAGAGTGCTGAAGAGACGTCAGGGCTACATGGAGACTCAAGCCATGGCCCATCCTGCCTCTGCATCCCAGGCCTTGGGGCCGCCTCCTGTGCCTACTAGGTTTTCCTCCCCAGGCTGCTGAGAGCCGAGCCAGAATTCCCTCAGACACTGAGGACATGGCTGCGTCCTCCTCAGCCTCGCTGAGGAGAAGTGGGGCCCCTGCTGGCTGGAAAGGGAACTGGTAAGAGGGCCCAGACCCTGCCCAGGGCGTTCACCTTAGACCAAGTTATTCCAGGAGTGGTTTTCCGGCTGAGGGCAGCTGCACCCACGCCAGTTGGGTCAGGGCATGGAGCTGGCCTGTCTAGTGATGGGCAGGGCAGGCGAGGGCTGCCAGGACCTAGCTGGACTGAGTTTATTTTTGTAAGGCCCCCACAGTCTGACCACCTTGGCCCCAGCCCCAGGGGAGGGGATGGAAATGGTTCCTATTATAAATCAGATGACCAGACAGAACTTCCTGGCAGACTCCTGGGGGTGGGGGCGGGGGCGGATAGAAGGGCCCAGGCAGGACAAGCCAGGCCCATTTTGGAGAAATGGATCAGACCTATGTAACCTGGGCTGGAATACCTTCTGGGGTCATCTTGTGCAACCAAGGCAGTGTCCCTTCAGCTAAATATTGTGGTCTCGCTGGTCTCACCCAGCCTCACAGAATGAGAGAGGAGAAAACCAAAATGGATGAACAAATGGGATGGTCCTAAAGTCTGTTTCTGGGGACAGGACTGGGCTCCTGAGTGAATGGATTGGGGGCTCAATAATATCCAGGCATACACTGGAGGTGAGGAACTGTGGCATGAGGGCCTCCGCAGTGGGTCTCCATGGGTAGACCTGAGCAGACAGCAGAACTTTTATACCCAAAGAGCTACCCAAAGAGCCATGCTCTTGTCTTCTCCAGACCCCTTTGGGCATGCTCTGTTGGTTCCCCCATCTTAACTCTACTGGCTTGTTCTACCTTTCCTAGCCACCCCACCAGGCACCCCTCAGGACCAACCCCACTCTGGCTCCATGGAGGCTGGTTCCAGGCTCTGGGAGCCGGGGCTTCAGAGGGAACTTGGCAGCCAGTTGCTGGCAGACAAGTGGACCTCACACCCTGCTCTTCTCTCCAGGCCTGCCCCACCCAGCTTGGTCTGGTGCTTCTCTTAAAAGAAGAGAAACAAAGTAGTTTGGGTTGAGTTCCAGGGCCCAGGCAGGGATTTGGGATGCAATTTTAGGGGCTAGGGAGAACCTTCTCTCCCTCTGGGGTTCTAGAGTTCATTCTCCATTAACAGCTGCCTGGGCCTAAGGAGACTAGAAAGCAGGGAAGATACTTCCTCCCCACTCACGAGAGCTGTATAGCGGAGGGTAACATGTGCTGATCTTCTGCTCAGGGTCCTTCGGGACTCTCCCTCACCCTTTCTAGGACCTGGGCTTGGGGGGAGGAGATATCTGTGTGGTTGATGTCCTAGTGCCTCTTTGAGTGTGACGTTGCACAACTTTCTTTCCACCAGGCTCCACAGTTCCCTTATCCTGCCCTCTGGGGCATCCCAGAGCGGCTCCCTCCACCTGCACCTACTGTTCCTGGGCCTCCTCAAGGCAGATGCCTCTTTGTGCTAAGTTTGGTCTCCCTCTCTGGATACCTGGGCTCAGGCTGCAGGCACACCTGTTGGTCTATGGGGTCTCTACTAAGCTGTCTGACTGATCCTCAGCCCAGCTGGGAGCAACATGCATCCGCTTACTCAGATCAGGGAGGAAAGAATATTTGCTCTCTGGAGGGTAATTTTGGTGCCAGGAGAAGCAGATGCAAATCAGATGTCATGCCTTC